AACAGAGTGCCACACCATCTTGGCCGTCATATCTACTATATATGTCATTTAATAACGTTAACCGACCAAGTTCCTCCCAGGTATGAAGGCCAAGAGTGTGTGACCTGCATTGTGGTATTAATACCATTCTTCGCCATATAGAAGTGGTTTGACCTCGTTTTTTCAACTTGGTCGTGTTGTCAAGGCGGCCCAGATGAACACGTCTTGTCCGTAGTCCCTCCCATTCCGGACATGGAGGTATCCACTGCCGGAATGTGGACTTGGCACATTCCCAGACGTTTCGGCATCCTTGCACCAGTCTACGACTCCATCTCTCCTTCCGCATCCGCCTACCCACTATCCCACAACTCCTGAATTGTAGAGTTGTCTTCACTCGTGCCTCATGACGTAGCATAAATGAATTTCCCATTTATCACCTTAAACGAAATAGGGTGAATACACCTCATATATATTAAGCTGACTTGTTTGTCCTGGACTACTCCAAAGGTGTGTCCATTTGAGCTGGTTTGGCGATTCGTTGCATGTCAGTCGTCTTGAATGGAGGGGACAAGATTCGAGGATAGAGGGCAGTTGGATGCAGTAGGGCAGAAGAAGGAATTGTAGCTCGGTGCTAAGTCTGTTGGAGCTCAGTGACGGTACCAATGGTCATTACTGCCAATTCTATGCTTTGACGTAATTTACAGAACCTACATTTGTCTAATTTTCCTTCTTTCCTCAAGCGTCTCCTCCTTGTGATGCCTTTCTCTTTTGGCCGATTTCAACCCTCAATACCTTCGCCTTCTTCACCCATTTTGATGAGTGAAACTTTGCCTTATTCTAGAAATTAAAACCAAGTTATTGTTCACTCTTTGGCGAGTTGAAGCTTGGTGCTGAGAATGGCAAGACTCACGGACGATGCCAACTTTGACGCCGGCGAAACATCTGGTAATGTATCAATTCCACGATCCGAAGCTGGCAATTGGGATCAATATTATGGCAGAGGGCTTTGGCCAAGGTGCGTTCATGTAGGTCGCCCTGGCAACATGGCAAATTTACGAGAACGAGGTCAAACCACTTCTAACTATGTTCTTATTCACGGATTACTGATACTATTATATATATTGAAAGGAAATTGATATTGATCTGAAAATTAGTCATACCAGCTCGCAACCATTAGCTGGGTAGGTCGCTTTTTCTCTATTCACACCCATTCATCAAAATTGTGGCCTTAACCGCCAAGCCGCACACTTTCTATAAAAGTGGGCATAAAATGAACCAACCAAATATGCATGTAATGGTAAGTTACTAATGCATGTACTAATAGTACGCGTGCATATTTTCAAAAAAATATTACTACGCAATATATCGTTTTAATGGTAGGGGGAAATGCGTGACGGGTGGTGGATCGCACCAGAAGACAACATCGGATCTTCCTCGGTCTGCTGAAGCTTGCTTTAACTGGGACGTCCAGGCTGACGCAGCTGATGAAAGTGTGCTGAGCTCTCCTCTGTCATGTCACGAAGCCTGCAACACTAGAGCTGGGCCTCGTGTTCTGATAAGCTCGCATCCAAAGCCGTCACCAGCTTAGTCCTTCATGTGATGTATGCTCCAGCGCAAATGAACTTTACGAAGTGTGGAAATATTTGTCTGGTTCATTTTGTGTCCATATATTTGTTTATACGTTTCTGCATGTGTGGGTGTATGCGAGAGAACATGAAATCATCGGATGTTGGTCCGAGAAATCGGAGCAGAATGAAAAATCTGTCCCAGATCCTCAGAGGAGACTCGTCTCTACTATTGAGCTGCTCCGGACATCCCCTCAGTATAGTTGGAGTGCCAAAGTGATGTGTGCAACTGGAAAGTATGCATTTTACTGCAATAACAACCAGACATTAAAGTGGTATAAAGCGGCATACTGGTTTATACTGTTTTTCTATTCCAGCAATAGCGACTATCCATGCTGAGGGAAGTCTTCATTTTCGCTTTGCATTTCACCTCGTCGTTTAACGCAAACGTGCTGCACTGAACTCTTCTCAGTCGCATCAGCAACGAGGAGGCGTATCGATAGAAAGGTGTACAGAAGATAATGTGAATTGAACGAAGCCTGATTCGCCTTGAAAGACATGCTTGTCGTGCAGCCTAAAGAGACAAGGGTCGGGTGGCTGGGGCGCATCTTGGGCTTGAATCACACTGGGGCGGCTATTGAGGCGATAGGGAGAGGCCGAAAGTGCTGCTCAACCTGGAGGAGAAGGACAGTTTCGAAGGAGCACTACAATGCAAAGTTCATTTTTTCCTTCCATTCCGCTAGCAAGGTTGTCGGAACTGATAATCCTCTACAGCATTCTGACTCCTGATAGCTACGACTCAGAGCTGCTAGTTGCCTTGACTTCTTTCGGCAGGTCTACACTAGGGCTATTAAGGGATGAACTGGATGAACGTCAGGACGGAGGTCTCAATAGAATCGGGCTAAAGCAGGCCAAGCCGAGCTCGCCGTAGTCCTCCTGACGAAGCGACCACCCAAGCTCTTCGCTACACACATGCCACATATCGATATTTTCCACAAATTCACTTCGCACATACACATTCATACAATCGAGTGCTGCCTAATTATATGCCAAAACATTATTGTATCTATGCCATTATTTTATTCGCAGGCCCAATTACCTGCATATAATTGTATATCATGACATATGGTAAAGCTAATATACATAGCATATACATATATGCATGTATATATGTATTAAATAAATTCATTTTATATTAAGTTAACATATGGCATGCAATCATATGCATGTAGGTGTGCCGTGTCAAGTTGTGTAAGATTATTTATATGCAATATATAGTTGTAACTGCATCGAGAAGGGTACATAGAATAAACCAATAAAATAGTGGCATAGATGAACATATATTAGGAATTATTATAGATAGCATTCAAGTGTGTGGATATATATGTACCTTGCGAATAGTATTTTGCATAAAATTATATGAGAAATAAAGGTCATTTCAGCATTTGATACGTTTGATTGAAAACCAGTTAATATCCCATGACACTTTGGGATACTACAGGATCTTTATACTTAGATCCAGCATAGCTTTATAGGGGTTGGGGCGACCTTCATTTCGTGTGAAATTGGGTGAATACGTATCATATTACTGATTTACTGGTAGTCTCGAAACAATACTTAAAATGCGTGTGAAAGTGCTTGAAGAAGATATTTGTACGTTGAGCTGATCAGAAGACGACCTCTGATTCCCGCTGTGTTGCATCTGCTTCCGTTCAATACAATGTTCAGATTACCTCGGTCCATGAAACATCTTTCATCGTTTCGGGTTAGCAAAGGTTTATCTTTCATTCGTCAGGTCAGTTGTCGAGCATCGTCAGAGCCGATAATCACTCTTGAAAGAGTTAATAGTTGGAATAGAGTCAAGAAGACTATTCGGCTCTATCCTAAATGCCATATATATTTCATAGCTAAAAACGAGCATATATACATAAATGTCAACACACACACACACACATAGCCTCAAGTATAATTGCCCGGATTAATATGAAGCCAACTAACTAAATTATAATATATCTATCCACACTTGGATATTTTTGTTTTAACTTATAACTATATATATATATATATATATACATATATAGTAGGACAGTTTCGGACACTCTTATTTTTCGTTGATAATTAAGCTTTGAAAGAGTGAGTTTTAACTCTGACTATGCCCATCAACTGCCATGAGGCACGATAATTCATATCGTTCTTGCCCCAAACAAGGTGGGATGTCTAGTTGACTGCGTTAGGCAGAATGTCGAATTTGGGCAAAGTGCTGCAGAACAACAGGAATCAGTCGTTATCCTGTGTTGAGGTTGACCTACGAATCTCTTCACTTGACACTGTTATGGAAAGTGAAAGCCTCCACAACAAGAAAGTCATTGAAACCAAGTTGCTCTTCGTATACACGGTTCGATATGCATTGTGTGCTAGTCGAGCCTTAAGGCAGCAATAACCTTGACACTTGTACTTACACTCTTTATTAGCTCTTCGCTCCCTATTCATCTTTCCATCAATGTCCCGCACATCTTTCCAATTGATGCCACCGGCCGGGTATGCATTTCCTCATTCGACATTTACGCCACTTCCTCAAGACGCCTGGCTCTCTTTGCCAGAACTTGCGATTAACTGTTTCTTTTAGCCTGCCAGGGCTACAATACACACACACGCGCGCGCACATGCACGCACATGCACACTCGCAAACAAGCGAGAACAATAGATAAATACCCGCGGTCGTGCACGCCACTCACGTATGATTGGTCCCGGTCGGTTCTGCCGTCCACCGTCTTTCCCAGGCGAACGCAGGCCGATCGATAACACTCCCACTCGTCTAATCATCCTACCGATCGATCGCTGACCACGCCACTCTGCTGGCTCGGCACGCCAGACTCGGCACTGCAGGCACGGGTCGGCCACAGATCAGCCAGCCCGTGTGCTGCTGCTGCTGCTGCTGCCGCTGTTGATGTGGCAGGCAGACAGACAGGCCGGCGGACAGGAAGGGGAGACTTGTGCGCGTGCTAGCGCGAGAGCAGGCAGTCGTAATGACGGCGAGAAGCCAATCGGGGAGGCAGGCGGATGCACTCGGGCCGAGTGGGGCAGCATTGCCGGCTCAGGCTTCACTTGCTGAGGCGAGCGCGTCTGTCGCGTCTGTCGCGTCCAATCGCCTGTTCGGTCCGCCTCTGCTTCGTGGCTTGAGCTGTGGCCGCCTTTCGCTTGCCCCTCAGCACTGAGGCCTCGCCGTCCGGCTCCGGCGGGCCGTCTCAAAACTCGCCACTTTGGCTCAGCTCTCTGCACTCCCCTTCGCAAGCAGGGCCCCTCCCGAGGCCCTGGCTCAACCCCACATCAGACGCCCTGTATGTGGCATTCGTGTGCGTGCGCGTGTGTCTGCTTCGGGCCGAACTGCCTTTGCGGCCGTCCCAGTGACGCTCACATCTTCCGCCCGAGAGCGACGACCGGTCGTCTGTCATGTCCTCCCGACCAATCAAAGGCCGAGCATGCCTTCTGATTAATTTGGCCACCGGGACGTGAAGGCTTCTGCATCATTCCCGCCAAATCCGCTCGCCACAACGACCGTCGCTAGGCTTTATCATGTGACCATCCTCTTCTCTGACGTCCCCTCCTTCCGAAGGACTCCTCCTGCCCCCGTTCCCCGTCCCGGTCTTCGGAGGCACCACCACCCTGTGCAAAGGTTTGCTCAATCCTTGCTGCGACGGCCTGGTAACCGACACCCGCCAGGCTGACGACGACCGGTTGCCGGGCGACTTGCAGAGCCGATGGACGGGCTGAAGACTTCAATTCAGAGGAGGTGAGAACGCCTTCTGCACGAAGGTCGAGCCGCCTTTTAGCCTATCCACTAGACCCGATGCGGCACGAGAGAGCAGCATGCGTAGTTTAGGGCCAGCAGACGTGCCAGACAGGACGGCGTGGCCCTCGGTTTGGTCGCAGCCGCGGCTTGACCTCACGACTTATTCGATTCGTCGCCTTGCCTCCGGGTCTGTCCAGGCGGGATGTCTTCAGCCGCCCAGGGCTGGAGGGAGCCGGTGAAGACGGCTGCTCGTGCTGGCCGTATCGTTCGCCGGTCGTGCAGCAACACACGGGCGCAGGACTCGAGAACCGGTGGCGGAGCGTCTGAAGAACACCCGAACTCTCTGGGACGATGAGGACGCGTTTCGCCCACGCCCGCCTGCCGAGTACGCCTCCTGCAGCGTGACTCAACTGTTCCTTTCTGAGGCAGGATTGGTTGGAGGAAAGCCGTGAGTTGGCCTCATCGGACCACGAGGCAGTCCTCACTGCACAGGAGCCACTCCTGCGCCTTCCGGTGAAGCCAATTCATGCCCTCTTTCCAGCCAACTTGGCCTTCGAACGGCAAAGTTGTGTCAAAATCACGCACTACGGCACTCCTCAAAGCCCAGTTTAACTTCATGCATAAACAGTTCGCGTTGTCAAGACGGGCCCGTGTGGCATGAAAGACTGTCCGTTGCCCGAGCGGATGCAGATGAAACCGAGTCTTGAACCCGGACCGACAGGACCTTGGCGAAGCCATGACAAAACTGACGAGTCATCGGTTCGCGGACCTCGAACAGTCCACCTCGACTGCATCTTCTGCCAGCCTGTAAGCGTTGGGTCGTCCCGAAGTGTCAGGAAGGGGTGAGCATTGAAGCCATCACTACGACACTGTCGAGTCGGGTGGCATCCAGTCTGGGGTCCTATGCTGGGCGAAGACACGACAACAGTGGCGGAGGAGTCAGAATTGCACTGGCGCTTCGAGTGCAGCCGGGTTGGGAGAACGAGGAGTTGACCGGACAGGAGGCTAGTTGGCTGGAAGGAATGCGTGAATTGGTCACCTCCGGAAACCGAAGAGCGATCGATCTTGGTGAAGTAAAGAATGCTACATTGCGCGAAGAAGTCTTCGTCGATTTTGCATTCTGGTAACTTTCGGGTTCCGGTGAGAGCAATTCACGAATTCCTTTCAACCAACTTGTCCCTCGAAATGCAAAGTCGTGTCAAAATAAATCACAAAGGCACTCCTCGAAAGCTGTTTCAGAACTGAGCTGACGCGGCCACTGCTCAGGGTGGTTTTGTTTGACCTCGTTTCCACAACTTGACGCCTCAAAGACTCTATCCCGTGTTGAGTCCCCGGCCAGTGCTGCATTTTCTCGTTCCAGTCTCGAGTAGTTGAGTTAAGGGGAGCCGCATGACCGATGTCATTTTTACGAGTTGTAGGTCAGTGCTGAGGATGGCGCTTCTGAATGACAATCGGACTGTATCGAGTCGTCAGTCCGATGGTAGAAAGAGACGACAACGGCCGGGGACGCAGAAGAGAAAATGGTTTTCGAAGTCCCCTCGCAGGCACGATAAAGCCTTGCAAATGAGGATTCTTGTGCTGACCTGCAGCCCCAAACCCAACTCGATTTGAAAGAGGATCGTGAGCATCATGGCGACACAGTACCGCTACGTTACACGGCCGGGTACATCCCCCGACATCGCGTCGCCGGTGAGAAACGCCATCCCAACTCGGGCTCCAGCTCGTCAAAATGACAAGAAATGTCAATCTCGTTGATGAATTGGCTGGTGAACGTGTCACTTTGACGACCTGTTCACTTATTGACGGTGCCGGGAATGTACCCAGTCAGCAAGGCGATACTGGGAAAAGGTATGAAAAAAATGGCAGTATTGGGTTGTGGAGATGTCAAGACATGTAATCAAGCTTTGTGCTACTGTACGGAGTACCCCAGCCATGTATAGTAAACAATAAAACAAGTCGTGGAGTACCACTTGTAGGAAAGAAGAAAAAGTTACAGGCGAGGATTCGATGTGGGAGAGCAAAGATGACGGCAAAGTAGCCTGTTGGTGTAGGAGAGCAGCGCTCGGCCACAAAGTCACAGCGGCCCACAGGGTGCTTGCCGTTGGCTGGGCATCCTTTGGCTTAAACTACTCTTGTTTTATTTTCCCTTGGTAACTAGGGTGCCGAGACCACCAGTGTGTACTTTTAATGCCACATTCTGATTGGTTCAACAGGGAGGCTCGATGAGGTGACTCGGTTCGCTTAGTCCTTGCGGGACATTGTGCAGATGAGTCATGCTCCGAGTGGTGTTGAGAGTTGCGAGATAACTGCTTACGGGCTGGTTGTGTCGGCAAGTGTAGTAAAAAAGACGGGAGCAAAAGTGACTACTGGGTGTGCTAATGGAAGTCGCCTGAACAACATGACTCATTTGTATAAAACGAGGTTGGACCAATCCTACGCAGAGAATGGAGACTGCCTCCGCTCGAAAAGCCATCCCAGTCTTATCTTTGGTCCTAACAGCTACATTCGTAGCTAGTAGGTTTCTAATAGGATTGTCGATGAAGTAAATTTATATTTGCTACTACAATCGACTACATTAGTTAGTTTTGTATCTATTAGGTCTCAAAACTGCCGGTATATTTTGAATAGGAGCTGTATCCGCCCTAGATCGCATAAGGTGATGAAGGACTGATATTTGATGCGGCTACCGTCAAGGAAACAAGGCTGTGTGACATGCATTGGCAACGTGGAGACCAATCATATGACCTTTGGGAAAATGAACAATCACGTGTTCATCACCTTATGCGACCTGGGGTGAAGACAACAGGGTTCGAGTCCAAGCCGCCCGTGTCCAAGAGCAAAATATGGTTCAATCTCCCACACAGTTCTTGCGTCATTGTCTTACGAGTGAGTCAAACCACTCTCGGCTCACTCGTCTGCTGTGCACATGCCGAGATGGCCCAGTTGTGTCTGCTAGTTTTGCATCGCCAAGACCAATGTCCTCCAACTATGCTGGACCATCTCTGATGGAACGGATATCGTCCGATTGACAGCCAGCATCAAGGTCAGTTTAGCCCTCAGGGGCTCAAAAACGCTTGTTGCAAACTAGCTGCTAACAAACAGGTATGATTTGTAAAATTAATTGTGAGTTTCCTTGACTCGTTAGCTTGAATTTTGTTGTGACGATGTTACCTCGCTCTGATGATGTCCGTCA